GCACTCACAGGTCCCTGGTATGAGTTTAAGTCACGGGGTCCAGGACTCAAACTGCAGCCGACTACGCGGGAATCCAACAACATAGCCATTATGCTAACTGCTGGTCCTCTCCCTGAATATTTTAGGTACATGAGTGCCCATCATCTGGGGCTGGCTGAAAGTGGGAGTGGATTGTGGCATCAAGACACTGTTAGGTTTGGGGAGAGAGCATCAGGGAAACTTAGGCTGCTAGAAATTGTAAGCTACAAAATCATTGGTGTGCATCAAGAAGATGAGCTATTAGAATGTTTATCTCCCGCAACGAGTCGAACGTTTCGAATAGAGGAAATACCTTTGGACCAGGTCGACATCGATAAGGAAAATGAGATGCTGATCACAGTGGCACATTTCCACAAGGAGGTGTTTGGGACGTTTGGAATTCCATTTTTGCTGAGGATACACCAGGTAGGGTTTTTGTATCAGTTGGACATCTCACACGCAAACTTGAAGCTCCTCAGTGGCCACTGTCCCTGAGCAAGATGTGAACTGTGAGCATGTGTGTCCTTTGCCGTCCAGGGCGAGCATTTCAGAGAAGTGATGAAGCGGATCCAGAGTCTGCTGGACGTCCAGGAAAAGGAGTTTGAGAAGGTACCTGCTCCCCGGGCCTGGGAGGGGCTCGTGGGTGCCAAGCTCAGAGTCGGCCAGCAGGGTGGCCCTGCTTTTCTGCCGAAGATGCAGGTTTTACTGATGTATGAGAATAATGAAGGAGTTCTAAATTTTGTCTTTTAGTTTAAATTTGCAATTGTGATGATGGGCCGACACCAGTACATAAATGAAGATGAGTATGAAGTGAACTTGAAAGACTTTGAACCGCAGCCTGGTAAGAACATTCTCGAGAATGAGGCCGGGGTCTGCACAGCGAGGTGCATGTGGCTGGGGAGGGGCCGCCCCTCTTCTCTTTTCATACCTGCGTGGCCCGTAAAGCCCAGCCAGAGTGAAATGGAAGCAGCCCATAACCTGGGCATTGTGCAGAGATTCCAGTGCCGACATGTTGAGTGGTGGCTCAAAAAGGTGGGGGTGTTGCTGACTCTGAGTGACAGTTCTCATGTTCAAGAAGTTTTTTGGCATGGGTATCCTTAGCTTTGGAAGTCCCGGCTTTAGGGGGTGAGCTGCCCTGGTGGTCCCGAGTGTCCTCCTGGTCCCGTAATCCAGGCCAGCTCTGTCTCCTGGTCTCAGCCGCTTCTCTTTCTCCTCACCAGGTAACATGTCTCACCCGCGGCCGTGGCTAGGGCTTGACCACTTCAACAAAGCCCCAAAGAGGAGTCGCTACACTTACCTGGAGAAGGCGATTAAGATCCATAACTGACCTCCTACCCAGTGTGTCCAGGCGAGGGACAGTGTGTGGGTGTGTGCCCCTTTTTAACAGCCCTAGAACTTTGGTACACGTTGTCTAGTATTGCGTGCAGTAAAATAGCATCAGCTCACACTTAGTCTCCATCCTTCTCCGGAATTTGTTTCTGTAGCAGCAGTGTGCACCAACTTTCCTGTATATTGCCTTTTTGCTGGAAAATGTATGTTGAATAAAATTTTTACTATAAAAATTTAAAAAAAAAAAAGACACTGTTAGGTTCTGTTTTTCTGTCTCTTTGTTTCTCCTGCTCATGGAAGAAAAAAATAAATAAATAAACTTCAAAAGAAAGGAAAGCTTGCAACCAGCAAATGGTGTTGTGATTGAGGCGCCAGACTCCCTCATGGCTGATTAAGGTTCCAATCCTGGACCTGGTGGCTTGAAAATTATGCTGGGCCTGTGTTCGTGTGTGCCCAACCATGTGCGTGCATGCCCAAAATCTCAGGAGAAGAAGGGAGAAGGGTATTTAGCAATACCTATTTATTTATGAAAATTTCTATTTAATATTTTTGGATTACAGTGTACTGTGGGTAACTGAAATTGCGGAGAGCAAATCTGTGAATAAAGAGGAACTGCAGTTCAGAAAAACAAAGAACCTCCTAATAGGTATTTTATATAGTTTGCTCGTCTCATGAGAACATTGGAGAAAAAATGTCATAGCACAGAGCCCTGAAGAGGAAAAACAACAACAACAACAAAACACTGAAAAAATATTCAGAATATCTGAGTTTTTAATCCTACTCTCTGCTGAGTCATTAAGATTTTTCTGCTCCAGTCTTCCTGGGTTGCTCATTATCACATGAGATAACGAAGGTAGATGGTCTCAAAATTTTTTTATCACTTTACAATATCATGTATTATTATCACAATCATGATGACAAAGGGCATCTGTGTGGGTTAGAATTAGAAACTGGGAGAAAGGAGAATGAGAAGAAAAACATCTTAAACTGTTTATTTACTCCCCATAAGAAAAATAATGACTTTCCTAATTATAAGAAAATGTATTTTTGTCAATTTTCAATATTAATACTGTGCGGAGATATTTCTGTCTGTAAAGAAAACTGAGATCAGATCTCTGTAAGGCCCATGAATTACACAATTGGTACTAAACTGGTTCCTAATGATCCTGTCTCCTGCTACTCTCCTGACATTCTACAGCACAAGGCAATGGGATTGCAGCTGTACAGGAGGGTTACAATTCCTGCTAATGCCATGATGCTCCCTGATGGATAGCTTCACCCCCCTGAAGGTGTTATCTGTATCCATCTTCCCACAGAGACCCCATACCTCAGCAGGTGTATTTCATGAGTGGAAGTGTAACTGATGAATCTTCTAATTTTATAGTCTGAAATGGAAGATAAAATGCTAGATTTATAGATATTGTGTCATTGTGCACAACACTCACGTTTCTTATTCCCATCTGGTGTGAAGAAAAGAAATTTGTTCTCCCTTTAACATGTCACGGTGTTAAATGTATGCTGCCTAAGATCTTGAGGAGTTGAAGCATAGCTATCCGCCAGCATAAAAGGTCTGGTGCTGTGGGCAATACTTTAATGCACGCAGAGCTTAACCAGAGACATTTGATTGCCATTACAGTTATTTTTTATTTTGGAAGGAGAAGATAAGCCTTTATGTCCTGGTGTATTAAGAAAACCAAAACCTGTCCTCAAATTAGAATGAGCTTTCCTAGGTACAGAGTGACCTGCTGATTCTCCCCCAAGTTCCACCCTATTAAATGAACAAATGGATCCATTGTCATAGTGTATCAGAAATTCTGCTCAAGGAGTGCATTTTCAACTGTAGCCTTATTAGGCAGCTTCCTATGGTCACGTGAAATGGCTTCTTACAGATTTCAAGGAATTGAACATAGACATTTCTCTCCTGAAACCTGAACCAAAATTTCCTTCTGTACAGACAGGAACTGCCCTTTCTGACTCCCCAGATTCCACAGAAAGATTATTTCCTAAAGCATACTTTTATATTTAGTCTACTCTCATTAGTATGTCATTTCTCTTGTGCATTCAACTCATCACAATAGACAAGATTCACAAAATTATGAAAGTCACAAAGGAAGTTAGAGAGGGAAAATACAGGAAAAAGAATGTGTGTGTGTATTATTAAAAATCATGGCATTCAAGTAACACTGGTATTTACATAAGACCTAAAAATGAAAAAAAGAAAAAGGAAGAGAATGCAATGAAAAACAAATTTAGGAAGAAAATTTGGAAAGGAATGAAAACTGTGACTCTCTTAAAGATAGATATAAATTTTTAAATAGCGGAAAATTGTGCTACTCATTTTATTTTTAATAAGCTACAAATATGTTCTTTATGTATGTACACAATGTATATGTGTATGTGTATATATATCTAATAACTGATAACTTCATCATAGAAAGATTTAATCATCTATTTCTTAGTTATATTAAAAAGAAATTTTGTTTTCCTGAATATTGGTATATATTTTATCATTTTCAACCAAAAATATTTACCTATTATTTTGAAAGATCTCAAAGTGATGTTAGGAAAATAGAAACAATTATGTAGCACAGAGTTAAAGGAAGAGAGAATAATAATAATTAAGTCTTTCAATTTCAGGCATTTATTTTGTGGCAGGCTTATTTTTGTATTTATGTATTATTTAATACAAATGATCTCATTTAAATGTTCCCATTGATCTCACAGGTTTTTATTTGATACATGGAAACAGACATTCATGATAACTGAGAAGCTTGATGAATAGTAAAAACTAATTAACTAGGGAAAATTGTAGTTAATAGGGAGATAGCACAGAGGACAGGGTTAGAGAAGACTACTTTAGGGAGGTGACATTTGGCAAGAGTAACTGAGGGGAGAATGTCCTGAGTTGGAGTTGGACCAGGCATACAAATGCCTTTTTCTCATCTTTCCACGTAAATATGCAATGCTGTATCATCTTACTGGCTGTGTAATATTCTACTTTCTAGTTGAGACATAACTTCTATTTATTTTTGAATATTTAATCCTATTTTTTCCACTAGAAACAATAGCACAGGGAGGTAATTGCCTTGTTCACACATCCTGAGACCTCCTGATAAGTTCCTTTCAGTAAACCCCCCAAAGTGAGAATTTGGAGTCAACGTGTGTAGCATTTAATGTTGTATCCCATAATTCTACACAGCCCTGCAGGACTTGTAGTGGAAGCAATGGCATTCAAATCCAAGGTTCTTTTATCCAAGCTATGGTTCTATCTCCGAAGAGATTCCTGTCATCCCACTGGAATCCCTTTCACTAGCATTGTTTTTTATCTTTTAGCATTTGCTGACCTGGAAATGAGGAATTTTGTAAATTCTCATCATTTTTTTTTCTCAACATGTTCAATATGAAATCATTATCTTTCTCATTAAGCAAAAAGAAAATAGATTCTACTTCCTGTTTGTGTTCTTGTTTGTTTTATTGTCATCACCATGGCCCAGTCATAAAAACTGGGATATCTGCTGGACTCTCTGCTCTTGGTCACCAGCCCACCACACCTTGCCCACCTGATATCTTTCTGGACTCCACGCCAACTTCAAGCTCTATTATCATTCCTGCAGCCCCTTCTCATCTTTCATATGTTCTATTTGCAATGTATCTTGGAGTCTAGTATTACAAACTCCACATTGCCTCTGAGGAACTTCATAAGATGACAGCTATGGGCAAGTTTTAATGTAAAACCCCACCTTAAACCTTTGAGTGCTCTCCATTGCCATAGTTCCCATAAAATGAAGTACAAGCCTGTGACTTGTGTGTTGCTTTTCCACAATCTGGCTCCTGGCCACTCCTTTATCTTAGAACTCCCCTTTCTGCTCTGTGTAGTCCCCTTATCTCCAGCCCCTTCAGTATTTATAGTCCCCCAAAAGCCTATGTTCCTCTAAAATTTACTTATTTTTCTCTGCCTCATGAGCCTTTACTAATTTATTAAGACCCAGCTCATATTTTTCTCCCATGAGACACTTTCACTGGCCCCTGTGGTCATTGCTCGGCTCACTTTTTCATGCCATCTGTGGATTCTGTGTGTACCACCATCAGAGCAATAATACGTCAGCGATTTCTTCCCTGGAAACCAAACAACAAGCTATAGTTTGAGCAATAGATAGGAAAAGTAAAGTGGAATTCTTGCAGTGAATTACTTATTTGGTGGGGATAACCAGGGTACCTGTGACATGAAGTAGTTGTGAGATGATGTATGTGAAACCCTTCCCTCTATGCCTAGCTCATAAGTATGGTGCTAATTATTGTCATTGTCATTATTGTTTATTCAAAATGTATTTCTGGTCCATTGGATATTGTAATGAGAGGGAAAAAAATTCACAGTGAGCTAATAAGTAAGTACAAAAAGACATAGACTAAGGGAGAGCTATTCTTATCTCAAATGATATCGAATAGTGTTGCTGTGCTTTAATATGGAAATTATCTTTAGATATCTGAAATAATAGAATAATAAACCTTATTGTGACAATAATAATAAGCCTAATAGTTATTCAATGCTTCCTCTGTACCAGACCTTATCAGGCTAAGTACTTTCTGTGAATTATTTAATTTAATTTCCACAAAAACCTCTCAAGGCAAGCACTTTTATTCTCCTTTGACAGATAAAAGGCTTTGAAATGTAGGAAGGTCAATTTCCTTGCCCAAGCCTTTACAGTTGGAAAATTGTAGGACCAGAGTTTGAACAAGGTGTAACTCATTGTGACTTCATCAAGCCTTGGATGTTCTCGTGCTTGACCTCTGATTTAACTGTGTGGCAACTTTATCCTCAGGTTGTAGGTACACAGGTCCTCCCCTTGGAGATCAATGGAACATTGATTGCAACTTATAATATTTCCTAGTCTAGAAGAATAAAGAATCACCTCTGAGGGGGATCAGCAGGTGGTTTAATGATTACATCACTGAACTCCTACATAGTTTACCAAATTTTGAGTTCTGGACCTGGTAGCTTAAAACTCATGAGGGGCGTGTATGTATGCATGAG